TCTCTGAAAATTTGATATAATATATTAAAATATATTATACCCACACCAAATTAATTTTTTTTTTTCAAAACCAATTGGGTCTCAAACTCCAATAAGGAGATATATCCCAATAATTCTCCCCCTATCGACTTAGGTGGAGATATCAACCATACTCGCCAAAGTTCGACACTTTAAATATTTGTCCCTCGACAAAGTCTTTGTCAACATATCTGAAATATTATCATCTGTGTGAACCTTTTCGAGTTGCAACAATTTCGAATCTAATACATCACGAATCCAGTGGTATCTCACATCAATGTATTTTGATCTCGAATGAAAAGTAGAATTTTTACTCAAATGAATAGCACTTTGACTATCACAATAAAACACATACTTTTCTTCGTTCAAACCCAATTCTTGCAAAAATTTCATTACCCATAACTCTTCTTTACAAGCTTCCGTAATGACAATAAATTCAGCTTCGGTAGTTGAGAGAGCAACACATTTTTGTAATTTAGATTGCCATGCCACAGCTCCCCTTGCAAAAGTCATCAAATATCCCGAAGTAGATTTCCTAGAATCAATATCACCGGCATGTCAGAATCTGTGAACCCATCAAGCATCGGCTTACCATCTCCAAAACACAAACACACCTTCGAAGTCCTTCAAAGATACCTTAGAATCCATTTTACCACTGCCCAATGTTCTTTACCCGGATTAGAGAGAAACCGACTCACCACACCAATGACGTGAGCAATATCCGGCCTTATACAAACTATAGCGTACATCAAAGAACCAACTGCTGAAGCATAAGGAACTTTCAACATCTCTTCTTTGTCATTCTCACTTGTAGGACATTGATTCGAACTAAGCTTGAAGTGACCCGCAAGTGGACAACCAACCGACTTTGCTTTATTCATGTTAAACCTCTTAAGAACTTTCTCGATGTAGCTTTCTTGAGACAACTAAATCAGTCCCTCTTTGCGAGCACGAACAATTTTCATACCAAGTATTTGTTTTGCCGGTCCCAAATCTTTCATAGCAAAAGACTTGCTCAACTCCAATTTTAACCTGTTAATCGTGGTAGAATCTTGACCCACAATTAACATGTCATCAACATAAAGCAAAAGAATAATAAATTTGCCATCTGAAAATTTTTTCACAAACACACAATGATCGGAAGTGGTTTTAGAAAAACCATTATTCATCATGAAAGAGTCAAATTTTTGTACCATTGTTGCGGGGCTTGCTTGAGACCATACAAACTTTTCTTCAATTTGCAAACAAATTTCTCTTTCCCTTTCTCCACAAACCTTCTACCTTGCTCCATATAAATTTCTCTTCAAGATTACGTGAAGAAATGCCGTATTCACATCAAGTTGCTCAACTTCAAGGTTTATACTTGCGGCCATGCCAATGCAATCCAAATAGAAGACATCTTCTCAACTGGCGAGAAAATCTCATCAAAGTCAATACCTTTCTTTTGCCCAAAGCCTTTCACAACAAGACGTGCTTTGTACCTCAGATTCTTACTATCATTCTTTAATTTGAAAACCCACTTATTTTTCAGAATTTTCCTCCCCTTAGGCAACTTCACTAAGTCATAGGTGTGATTTTCAAGCAAGCAGTTCATCTTCTCTTCCATGGCCTTTTTCCAATCACCTTTCTTTGCATGCTCAATTGCTTCTTGGTAGCTCTCGGGCTCCCCTTGATCAGAAATCAACACAAATTCATTGGGAGGTACTTTCTTGAAGGTTGTCGGTCCCTTGTAGATTTTCTTAACTCAAGTTGTGGTGGCAATTCTTGAGTTGGATGCTCTTTCTCAATTTCTGGCTTAACTTCATTAGGATTAGCATGATCCTCCACATCTTCAATAGGTGGCTGCACATCTTCCCTATTTTCATCATCAACTGAAGATGAAGGAGATGATCCATGTCACTGAGATCACTAGTTTTTGGCTCCGGTTGATCACCTTTGCCAAAGTCTTCAATTGTTTGGTCTTCAAGAAACACAACATCACGGCTTCGAATGACTTTCTTGTCGACCGGATCCCACAATCTATACCCAAATTCATCACGACCATAGCCAAGAAAAATACATTGTCTTGACTTACTATCAAGCTTAGACCTCTCATCCTTTGGAATGTGAACAAAAGCTTGGCAACCAAACACTCTCAAGTGCTCATAAGATACATCTTTACCGGTCTAAACTCTTTCTGGAACATCACCATTCAAAGGATAGGAAGGAGACAAATTGATCACATCAACCGCTGTCTTCATTGCCTCACCCAAAAAGATCTTGGCAATTTAGCTTGTGACAGCAAACACCTTGTTCTTTCCACAATGGTGCGGTTCATCCTCTCGGCAACGCCATTTTGTTGAGGAGTTTTCTTAACTGTCTTTTGGTGCCGAATACCTTGGTTGCGACAATACTCATCAAATGGCCCAATGTATTCACCACTATTATCTGATCAGATGCACTTCAATTTCTGCCATGTTTCTTTTTCAACCATGGCCTGAAAATGCTTAAATACTTATAGAATTTGATCTTTAGTTTTTAGTAGAAAAACCCAAACTTTCCTTGAATAATCATCAATGAAAGTAACAAAATAAAGTGCACTACTATGTGTTCTAACTTTTAAAGGACCACAAACATCCAAATGAATCAACTCCAAAACATTTTCTTTTCTAGAGGCAACATTTTTATGAAAAGAAACTCTATGTTGTTTACTCGCCAAATAATGAACACAAGTTTTAATATGTGTACCTTTCAAACCAGGTAAAAGCTCTTTCTTGAACAATACTTGCAGCCCCTTTTCACTCATATGGCCAAGCCGCTTGTGCCACAATTCAGTAGAAGTATCATCTTCAAGTACATTGACAACATCTTTACAAATTTTTCCTTGCATCAAATAAAGTGTATGAGTCCTCTTGCACTTAGCCACCACCAAAGAACCCTTTGTGAGCTTCCATATTCCATCACCAAATTTGTTGTTGAAGCTTCATCGTCTAGCTTCCCAGTAGAAGTCAAATTGAGGCAAATGTCAGGAACATGCCTCACATCTTTAAGCAACAACTTGCAGCCCAAATTTGTTTCCAAGCAAACATCACCCATGCCAATAATCTTGGACAAACCTTCATTACCCATTCGAACAAAACCATAATCTCCTTTGGTGTAGGTAGTGAAGAAATCAACTCGAGAAGTCACATGAAAAAAAGCACCAGAATCAATCACCCAATTGCTCTCTTGGCCCACAAAATTGATACCATCATCTTCACAAGCGACCATGAGATCATCGGTAGTAACTGCTGTTGTGTCTTCTTGCTTCTTATCCACACTTTTGTCACGCCTTTTCTCCTTGTTCTTGAGCTTTCGGCATTCTCGCTTCATGTGCTCTTTCTCATGGCAATAATAGCACTCAATTTCTTTCTTTGAGAAAGAACCATCTTTTGATTTGTCACGGCTTTGATCATGACCATGAGGAGTCTTACTTCTCCCCCTTGTTTTGCTTCGGCCTCTCACAACGAATGCTTCCGAATGAGAGGAACCCGCTGATTTTCTTCTAGTTTCTTCATTCAACAGGCTACTAGTGACTTGGCCCATTGTGACAACTCTATCAGGTGCCGAATTACTAACTGTCACAACCAAAGTCTCCCAACTTTTGGGCAAAGAACTAAGTAGCATCAAAGCCTGCAACTCATCATCAAAAATAATTTTCATAGAAGCAAGTTGGTTAATAATACTCTTTATTTTATTCAAATGTTCTGGAATGGGGCTGCCCTCTTTATATTTTAAATTAACCAACTTACGAAAAAGAAAAACGTTATTTGTAGCTGATTTTCTATCATAAAGACTCTTTAACTTTTTCTATAAATCATGTGCCGAAGTTTCAGTAGCAACATGATGAAACACACTGCCATCAATCCATTGACGGACAACACCAACGGCTTTTCGATTAAGCCTCTTCCATTCATCATCTTTCATACCCTCGGGTTTGTCACTATCACTCTCAATGGGTCCATACAAATCTTTACAAAATAATAGGTCCTCCATTTTAGTTTTTCAAGTTACCTAATTACTTCCATTGAAGCTAGACATGCAACCCACATTCCCCTCTATTGATTTATACAAATAAATAAACATAAGTAAACCGTAAGCTCTGATACCAGTTGTTAGGGAAAATATGTGAATCTCCACAAGTAAATCAATCAATGAGAATAAAAACTAATGCGGAAAAATTAAATCAAAAGCAACACAAGAATTTTTACGTGGTTCCCTCAATGTAAGGTACATCCACGGGATCAAAATCCGATTCCAATATCAACCAAAGAGCTTTCAAACGATTACAAACGAGACACCAATGGTCTCACAAAACCACCCTTAGGTGAATTTCAAATAATCACAAATAAATAAAGAGGAAAGGCTTCATCAAATAAATGAACAAAAGTCTTCAAATCCAGAATTAAAGAAGACCCAAAATAATAACCAAAATCAACTTCAGAACAGAGGGCAACATAACCATCAACAAATCAAGCATCCTTGACAAATCTTCACTCTTCGACACTGTTACCGAAGCAATAGAATTGGTGTAGCAGCCACATACTTTTTTGGTGAAAAACAATATATCTCTCACAAATATTGAACAATATATATATATATATATTGAATCTTGGGTTTTAAAATCAAACCTTAATTGTTACCAAATTGAATTGGGTCTCTGAAAATTAGATATAATATATTAAAATATATTATACCTAAATTAAATTATTTTTTTTTTTCAAAATTAATTAGGTCTCAAACTCCAATAAGGAGATATATCCTAACAATTATTTAATGAAAGATGACAAGTGATAAGAAAATGAGATGAGTATTTTATGAAATTCTCTAATAACTAATCTACACGTTGTAAAATATTGTAATTTGCCCACAAAAATGTCAACGGTTTAGCAAAAGCATTTTTGTAATTCCCTAAAAAAAAAAACTATTTAAAAACAAGCCAAACAGCCCCCAAAACTCTCAACCACAACTCACTATCCCCAAGAAGAAGAAGAAGAAGAAGAAGAAGAGAGAGAGAGAGAGAGAGAGAGAGATGAAGTTAGTTTGGTCACCAGAAACAGCTTCAAAAGCTTACATTGATACTGTTAAATCTGTAAGTACAAATTGTGTGTTTTTTGTTTTCCAGAAAAAAAATAGAAAACTTGTTTAGCATGTTTCTGTTTTTTTTTTTTTCCCTTTTTCGTGTTTTTTTTTTTTGACTTTTTCGTGGGACTTTTTTTTTTTTTTAATTTTTAAATCAATTCATTGTTTTTATGAAACGTCAAGAGGTTATTTTTGAACTTTCGAAAGGAGTTATCGAACAAAAAAATGAAAAAAATCCGTGTTTTCAAAATTTTCATCATTTTATGTTTCTGAAAATACGAGAAAACATAAACAAAGATAATGAAAAACACAAACCAAACATGTAAATTTTTCCAGCTGTTAACTGAAAATAAAAATTATTGTAAAAGTTGTTTTGAATTTTTGAAAGGTGTTTTTTTTTGGGTGAATATTTGAAAGGTATTATCATAGAACAAAAATGAAAACTATCAGTGTTTTCAAAATTTTCATCATTTTTTGTTTTTGAAAATACAAAAAATAAAAAGGAAATGAAAACACAATCAAACAGATCATTTTTTCAGCTCTTAACCAAAAAATAAAAATGATTGTAAGTTGCTTTAAATGTGATGCAGTGTGAACTTTTCCAAGAGTCTGGTGAGGCCGAGTTCATCTCCGCCATGGCAGGCGGCTGGAACGTGAAGTTGATCGTGGAAGCGTATTCCCATGGCTGTGCAATGGCAACAAGTGTAGGCTTAGCCATAGCTGCCCGCCACACCGGCGGTCGCCATGTTTGTATGGTCTCAGATGAAAGCTCAAGATTACACTACATCAATGGCATGCTTGCAGCAGGCATAGCACTGCCCGAAGTGGTGGTCGGAGCGGCTGACGAGATTGTGGTAGGGCTGGTGGACATTGATTTTCTGGTGGTCAATGGGCAGCACAAGGACTTCGGTAGAGTGATTAGGTTAGCTAAGCTGAGCCATACAGGTGCAGTTTTAATATGTAAGAGTTTTGGGCAACAGACCATGGCTAGGTTCAGATGGAGTGGGGTTCTTGGTAGCAATACACGTGTCGTGAGATCAGTGGTGTTGCCAGTTGGAAAGGGGTTAGATATTGCTTATGTAGAATATAATGGTGGGACTACGAATTCTCCGAAGCGTACCAGCCGTTGGATTAGACACATCGATCAACGATCAGGTGAAGAACATTTGTTTCGAGGTTAAATTTTGACTAATAATACGATTGTACCATATACAATATGCAACAATGATTCATCCCACTAAAAGTATCACCACTAATAGCACTAATGTATTAAAAAAGTAAAAAAATAAAAATAAAAATACAACTCCAAAATCAAAACATCACATCATTAATGACGGGACCTACTGCCACCCGAGAGCACTAATTAGTGCTCCCAAGTATTTTTCTACGATATGATCCGCCTCGTACTTTTTTCTAATAACAATGCTACAAACATAAAACAAAAGTACAGAAAATAACACAGAACATTCTACTGGAATTTGGAACATCATTTTTTGTAGTTGAGTTTTGTAATTCTAGATTTAGGATTTTTTTGTTTTTTTTTAAAAAAAAAAAGGGAAATAAGGAGAATCATAAGGAATGTTTGATATGCTTGAATGATTTTAAACTGAAATAAAACAGAAACTGAATCGGGTCTGAACATAATGAGGCACGAATAGTCATTCTCGTTTCAATATTTGGTCGATAATCGATTCAAGCAATCTTATGTGATCAAAGGCGATAATCCATTCAAGAAATCTTCCGGACATCTTATGGGATAATCCATTCAAGCAATCTTATGTGCAATCTTATGTGATCAAACACAATAATCCATTCAAGGAAGAAATCTTCCAGAAATCTTACGTGACCGATAACAAAGTTCTTCAAGGAGAGAAAAAAACAAACAAAAGCAGAACTTCGTGTTGTGAAATTGTGATTCTAGAACAAAATTTGTTTGTTAAAAATCAAAATCTTATTAGGGCAATTAATCCCAACAAAAAACTATCCAATAGATTGATCATTTCCCTACCTTGATAAATAATAATTCCATTTTAATGTACATTCTTTTAAGAATCATCAAATGAGAGACCGGATATTCCAATGAAATGAACATTTCAGTCTAGCCTTCTTTCCCGGTAAGCTCAGGGTACTTGGTCCGTTGCCTAAGACCCACCAAAAATATCTCAAAAAACGCTTATTGTCAAAGGCCAAAGCCTAAAGCCTCAAAAACTCTTAAGCAGCTACTGTCAGAGAACAGAAGGAATGAAAAATGGAAATGGGTTTTGAGGACACAAAAACAAGACCTTTAAATAAGGGAACACATAAGATCACATGTAAGGCAATGAATGGAAAAGAAAGATTACCCTCAAGAATTATTTCAAGATTTCAAAATCAGAAAAACAATGGAAACAAGCCCACAAGTAGTAATTTGCATACACACGGATAAAGGGATAATAATTCAAATTTTACGATACATAAACTTCAGATATTAACATGATATATTAAAGGTGCATCATGTCTTAGCCAAAGCTTAATTACAGAGAGGGCAAGCACTGAGTCCTAATACTACTTGAGGTCATATTCAGGATTAACTCAACTCTTCACACACGTCCAGATTGGGTCTATTCTATGTTGACTCGAACAATCTTTTTGGCTCTTCCCCTGGAAGAAGTCCCAGCTTCGACGACAGGCCCGGTTCCTCCAGCATCTCCCGACTGCTCTGTAGATGGAAGAGCCCAACCACCCCACTTTGGCCACCAATCCCATCCAATGCGGCTGGCATCTACAAAAATAGGATGAAGAAAGTGAAACTATATCAAATATATGTTCAAAGAAAACCCATTGTGTCAAAATAGCATTTCAGTAAGTGCTCATTTTTTCTACAAGGAGAGAACTTCTTATATGTGCGTCAAATTGAAAGACAACATGAAAGCATGTCGAAGGTCATTGAATTGAAACAAAGAAATAGCTCTTAAGAATCTTACAGCTATATTCTCACCATCCTTATTTTCCACCACATAAACCAAGCAACCAAGTTATTCAACACAAATTGCAGACTGCCATAAAAAAAATGCTAAAAAGGACTTCAATTTCATGACCAATTTGTTTTTCCACCAAATGACCAAATAAAGCCAACTGACGCTGAATTTCTCTTCCCAAAAGATAGCATAAAATAGGAATGATATGTGCAAAACAGGTAACTCGAACATAAGTTAAAATTAATTCAGAACCTATACATGTAAAAAACAATGGTTAGTCTTTACTTCATTGTAAAGAACGCCTACCTGCATTCTCAAGCAAATTGAACCCGCTGTTCCAGTCAGGGGGCAAATTCTGAGCATTAGCTTTCCAAGTCTCTTCAAATCCCGCAAGCTCATCTAAGAAAACACCACAACATCAGCTCTTTCCTTCACTCGTTCATTCAACATAATGCCTCCAATAGTCTCATGGAAACAAACCTTCATTCAAGTTGTGTAAAGTCTGCATTGTGTCCACTTTACCATCTGAAGTACGCTTCATCGTAACTGAATGGCCCTACAGAAGTAATACAACCATCAACTTCTCAATAAAATTGTATCCTCACCCAACCACCAATTACAGATGAGCTTTTAAACTAATCAGAACCAGGAATATTTAGTTGGCTTGTTTGGTTAAATATTGTTTCTCGAAATCACTTCAATACACATCCCAAATAAAATAATAAATGTGTAAAAACAAAGTCATGTGTAAATAAGGCTACAAAGAAGTATATAATACCTTATCGTGGACCCCTCTAGAAATTGTATTCAGCGCTTCCCCTACTGTCTTATCTTCCTCATTGATCTCCATCAGAACCACCTTTTTCACAAACAAATACAGACATAACAACCAATAAAAAAACATTACTAATTTCTGTTAGATAGCTTGATATATACTCTTAGGGCCCATTTACTAACAGTTTAAGCTTCTCAAAAAATTGATGATGCATCCCGGTATCACCAATGACCTAACATGGTATCAGAGCTTAAGTTGGAGGAAGTCCTGGGTTAAAAAATTTCTGTTTACATTTGGTCCCTGTTCAGATTCTTTGTTATCTATATATGAATGTTTGGATTTCCACGTGCAAGATAGGTTGCACATGAGGGGGTTTTAGACAGCTTGATATACATTCTTTGGCCAATTTATGGGCCCATTTCCAAACAGCTCAAGTTCTTGAGAAAATTGGTGAGCTAATGGCATCTCCAACCCTTACTCAAATGTTGGCTCAAAACTTAAATTTGAGTGAAAACACTTCGAACACTTATTCACTCCTTGACTCAAAAGTCATACCAAATTGAGTTTTATCCATTTCTTTAGGCAAATGAAAGGTAGACTCAAATCTTGGCTCAAATGTTCATAGACTAGATTTGCTTCATTTAAAGTAATATTATGTACCAAACTGCCATTCTTGGGATATGATGGAAATTTTTAAAAATAATCTGAGTAAAAATTGGTGATTTCCATAGTGGTTCATATCAAATAAAGCTTTTACTCGAATTTGAGTCATGATTGGAGATGGCCTAATAATATCAACTTTCTCAACTTGAATATAGTGAGTTACTTACCTCATCATCACCAGTCTTTCTAGTGACAGAGGCAGTGTAATATATCCCATTCAAACCACCATATGCAACTCTCTTAAAGCTGAAACTCTTTGTCCCTATTCAAAAACCCACAAATATTAAAATTGTAATTAGTTGATTAGACCATCTCTAATCCTTCACATTTTCTAATTTGTTTTTTTTTGGGGGGGGGGGGCTAAAAAATCATCTCCAAGGGGGGGGTAAAAAATCATTTTTCATCAAATTAAGAACCCATCAAATTTGAATTTAATCAAAATTCAAAAAGAAAACGATTTTTTTTTTTAAACAAAATTTGATGGAGAGGGGAATTTGGGATAAGATGAGAATTTTGAAAAAGATTTGGATGAAAAATTTGGTGAAGGGTTGAGATGGAATCTAATGTGCACTCACTACACTACCCACTAACTAAATTTACAAATGGCTCATACCATTACCATTTTTGGCATTAGGGTTCTTAACAATTAGTTCCTTGTTTGGCTGATCAGAATGGTTCAGATTCAGAGGGTTCCCATCTGAGTCCAATTCTTCAATAGTTACTTCCTTTGATCGATTTCCAGAGTCAGTTAGGGTACCAAACATGCCACCAAATGGGTGAGTGAAGAAGGGGTCATCAAATGGATCTTTCCCTCCAAACAACTTCGACATTATAATCGCAAGCTTAGAAACGATTCGATTGCCTGAGAATCAAAAAACAGCAAAGCAAATATAGCAGTGTACGTATAGGAATTCATGAAATTGGGAAAGAACTCACCTTGAGCTGAGTAGCTTCTATGTGTGTAGGAGAGATACAGAGAGAGAGAGAGAGAGAGAGTAAAGGGAACCAAGATTGGCCCTGTAACCGCGAAGAGACTTCTAGAAACGTATAGAGAAAGATCGAGAGAGAGAGAGAGAGAGAAAGAGAGTGTGCGCGCGCGCGCGCGCGCGTGATGGTGAATGTTTGTGGTGAATTGTGATCTAACGGATGGCAACATATGAGTCCGGATCCTTTCCAGTCCTTCTCTCCAACCCTTCGTCCGGTCAATGGCCAAGATTTGGTCACGTCACCCTCAACCAAATCTATGGCTCAGATCAGATTTAAAAAAAAAAAAATTGAATTTCATTCAGCACAGCAAAGCAAAATAGAGCTTTTTGAAATTGTGTTCGGCGGCGAAAGAACATCGACGGCGATGGCTCGATGAACGAATGAACATCAATGAACAAAGCACCATCGGCGGCGAACATCGATGGCTCCTTCTCGGGTCTCTTCCTCTATTTATCTATCTCAACAATACATATATTTTGCTACATATATTCATTTAAGAATAAACAGAGCAATCCTTGAAATTCTTGCCCTCCAAATATCCACTTCCTCAATTCCTTCTCATCTCATATATATATTGTTAACATACATATTAATGTTAACATACATATTAATATATTACTCTTATAAGTATAGTTTGTATATATTACTATAATATATTAATATGTTTGTATGTATATAATATGTATAGGTATTATTTAATATTTACCTTTCAGCTGCTGCTTTCGGCCGATTCCTCTTTCGGCTCCTTTTCTTTATTTTAATGCAACACATCATAATAATGTTTGTAAATCAGCTCCTATATTATGGAGGCTAGAATTAGTTTCTCATTACAGAATGAATAACAGATAATTTTCTGTCAATATCACTCTCTCAACTCTCTTTCAATTTGTTTCACATGGTATCAGAGCACAGGTGTTTCTCCTAAGCCTCTGCATCACACTTTCTTCTCTTGGCAGATTACTGCATACCTCGTCCTTACCCAATACACAGATTTGACAACACCAAAACCTTCGTCTCTTCACGACGAAGCCAACGCCGCCAGATTCATCATCATCTGAGGTCACACGTGCCTCCACGCGCCACCAGAACATTAGCCCACGCGCTGCCTCGCTTCAGACGCGCTCTACGCGCCTCCTACACTGACCAGTGCTATTGTGCGCCGCTGCCTCGTCTGCTAACGTGAGCCGCGCCTTTCTGACGTCAGCCGACGTCAGCCCTTCTGCTTCCGTGCGCCGTGTGTCTTCGTCTGCTAACCTGCGCCGCGCCAATCTATGCTAACCTGCGCCGCGCAGTTTGACCAGCCGTTGACTATTTGATTTTCTGCCTTTCTGGTCATATTTTTGGTCAGTTCACTCCTTTTCTGACTAATTTTGACCATCTGAATTCACTGGTAACCTCAGATTTTTCAGATTCTACCTCAATTGTGCCATTTTTCTCTCATGGATCGCCTGGACTCCTCTAATCACCCTATTTCCCTTATTCTTGACGGGACTAATTATGTCCTATGGGCACAAGCTATGTCTGGCTTTCTCAGAGGAAAGAAACTTTGGCGCATCATCACTGGGGATGTACGCAAACCCGTTCAAGAGACCACGGATTCCGCTGCCACAGACTCCGCCACCAAATATGTCGACCGATTGGAAGATTGGGATCTTTATCAAATGTACGTAAAAAATGCTTTCCTTAATGGTGTTCTTCTTGAGGAGGTCTACATGCAACCTCCCCCTGGGTCTACTTATCCCCCTCATAAAGTCTGCAAACTTCAGCGTGCTTTATATGGTCTCAAACAAGCTCCGCGCGCTTGGTTTGCCAAGTTCAGCTCTACTATTCATGACTGTGGTTTCATCTCCAGTTCTTATGATACTGCTCTTTTCATCCGGAACACTGCTCAAGGGACCACCTTGCTTCTTCTTTATGTGGATGATATGATTATCACCGGTGACGATCTTGATGGTATTCTATGCCTTAAACAGTTTCTTAGTCATCATTTCGAGATGAAAGATCTTGGTCCTCTCAGCTATTTCTTGGGTCTTGAAATCTTCCATGATTCCACGGGGTCTTTTCTCTCTCAGGCGAAGTATACCTCTGATCTTCTCACCCGCGCTGGTCTTACGGATTGCAAGATTGCCTCCACTCCCCTGGAGCCTCAAAGTCATCTTACACCTCTTGATGGTACTCTTCTCTCTGATGCTACCCTATATCGTCAGCTGGTTGGCAGCCTTGTCTATCTCACTGTTACTCGTCCTGATATTGCCTATGCCGTTCATATTGTCAGCCAGTTTATGTCAGCTCCTCGTACCTCTCACTATGCTGCATTAGTCCGTATCCTTCGTTATCTCAAAGGTACCTTGTTTCATGGACTTCATTATTCCGCCCGCTCCTCTCTCCAGCTTCGTGCTTTTTCAGATGCTGATTGGGCTGGGGATCCTACAGACCGGCGCTCTACTACCGGGTTCTGCTTTTTCTTGGGTGATTCTCTTATTTCTTGGCGCAGCAAGAAACAAACTCTTACTGCTCGCTCCAGTACCGAAGCTGAATATCGTGCTCTTGCTGATACTACTCAGGAGGTTCTCTGGCTTCGTTGGCTTCTTGCTGACATGGGTGTTTCTCCCTCTGGCGCTACTGCCCTCTTTTGTGACAATCACAGTGCTCTTCAAATCGCTCACAATGATGTTTTTCATGATCGTACCAAGCACATTGAGATTGACTGTCATTTTATTCGTCAACACGTCACTCGTGGTACTGTTCATCTCCATCCAATCTCCTCTACTGATCAACCTGCTGATATCTTCACCAAAGCCCATTCTCCTGGCCGCTTCGTTGAACTTGTCTCCAAACTCCAGTTGGTTAATGTTTGTCCTCCTTGAGTTTGAGGGGGGCTGTTAACATATACTATAATATGTATATAAATATGTATATAATATAATATGTATATAATATAGTATGTTATAGTATGTATATAATATAGTATGTTATAGTATGTATATAATATAGTATGTTATAGTATGTATATAATATAGTATGTTATAGTATGTATATAATATAGTATGTTATAGTATGTATATAATATAGTATGTTATAGTATGTATATAATATAGTATGTTATAGTATGTATATAATATAGTATGTTATAGTATGTATATAATATAGTATGTTATAGTATGTATATAATATAGTATGTTATAGTATGTATATAATATAGTATGTTATAGTATGTATATAATATAGTATGTTATAGTATGTATATAATATAGTATGTTATAGTATGTATATAATATAGTATGTTATAGTATGTATATAATATAGTATGTTATAGTATGTATATAATATAGTATGTTATAGTATGTATATAATATAGTATGTTATAGTATGTATATAATATAGTATGTTATAGTATGTATATAATATAGTATGTTATAGTATGTATATAATATAGTATAAAAAAAAAAAAAAAAAAAAAAAAAAAAAAAGAGTTTCATTCAACACAGCAAAGCAAAACAGAGCTCCCTGAAATTGTGTTCGGCGGCGAACGAACATCGACGAACGAACACAAAGCACCATCGGCGGCGAACATCGATGGCTCCTTCTCGGGTCTCTTCCTCTATTTATCTATCTCAACAATACATATATTTTGCTACATATATTCATTGAAGAATAAACAGAGCAATCCTTGAAATTCTTGCCCCACTTCCTCAATTCCTTCTCATCTTATATATATATATATATATATATGTTCATATAATTTCTTTGTTTTGTTCATTCTCTCTCTTTCTCTCTCTCTCTCTCTCTCTCAATACACAAATAGAGCAATCCCAAAAACACCTTCTTTCAAACAAACCACAAATGCCTTCTCTCAATGGTGCATGATTAGAGATATCACCCATTGAAGAAGGGTCTAAAGGTTATTGTGTAGGAGAGGAGTTACAAAGTAGCCTTGTGGGTTTAATCTAAGAGTAACCTAGTGGGTTTAATCTGTGAGTCACAATTCAATGTCCATTCGCAAGAAAAACATGGACTGTGGCTGTGTTGTGGTGGAGATGTGGCTGTATGGTGGCGGCTAACTTGGATTCACCACCGTCGATGTCAGGAGATGGAGTCGGCAGAGCTCTGGGAGGAAGATCTGTTATGCTTTGCTGTGTTGAATAAAATTCTTTTTTTTTTTTTTGGGTTAGCAAATTTGATCTGAGTCGTAGATTTGGTTAGGAGTGATGTGGCCAAATCCTGGCGTTGATCGGAGGAAGGCTGGAGAGGAGAGCTGGAGAGGATCCGGACTCGCAACATATGTTGGCGTTGACTGCCTAATTTATTCTTGCAGCACTTTATGCCCTTTAGTTCAATTTTAATTTTGTTATTTTAATTTAAATTTTTGTTAATTTTCTTTTATGTATATATTTTTGAAGATTGATAAGTGTTTTAAAATGATCTAATATCAATGAAAGAATCAAATTGAAACTTAGATTAGAGTGTAGAGATCAAACTGTTTAGTTTGAATCAATAGAGATGAAAGTGAAACATGTGTCAAAATAATAAAAATTAAAAGGGTAATGTTATGGATATTAAATTTTTTTGTTCCGCTACGGACCACTAGAAGACGAGCTCTAAACAGGTGACATGTGAGGCGTGAAATTGAAGGCCATTTGCATATTCAGTGCGTGTGTTTCACGCACTGTAAAAAAAAAAAAAAAAAGAGTTCAATCTCACGCAAATGTTGATCCATCGAGCTCATGTATATAAAAGAAAAAAAAAATTTCCCGCACATTTGATCTGAGCTTCTCTTCCACCGTTCCGTCGCCTTCATCGTCCAGCGTTTGCCCTCTCCTCCACCATCCGACGTCAGTCCTCTCCTTCGTCGTCCCTCTCCTCTACCGTTTGGTGTTTGCTGTCTCGTTCGGCATTTGTAGATCTGTCCTCCGCCGTTCGTCTCCTCCACAATCGGACATCGTCTTCCTCCTCCACCGTCCGGCGTCTTCGTCGGACTTGGACTTCCATCTGGTCAGTTTCTATATCACTGTCACATAGCAAGATAGATATTGAAAAAAAAAAAAAAAAAAGTGCAGAAATCCCCTGTTTATAAGTTCAAGATAGATGTTTATAACCATGTTTAAAAAACAGGTGTAGACACCC